CATAGTCAAGCAAAACAAATTCACCACCCAAGCATCTGAAGCCAGTGTGGTTTCATGGATAAAGTGCAGATTTTGGAGTCAGGAAGACATGAGGTTCAATCTAGTCTCAGACATTTGCTAGCTGTAACCCTTCTGAGCCTCAATTTACTTATTTATAAAATGAGGTTTGCCGCAATCTCTCAGGTTCCTTACCTGTCTAAATCCATGAGACTGTGCCATATGAGGTTCATTTTTTTTCCCATAGGAGAACCATTTGAAGGAATTGAATTTGTTTAGCTAGGAGAAGAGAAGACTTAGGAGGGAACATAACAGCTGTCTTCAAGTATATAAAGGACTGTCATGTGAAAGAGGGATTAGATTTGTTTTCTATTGCTGGAAGTTGCAAAGAGACAGATTTCAGTTCAATATAATTGCAATGGAAGAGTAGGGAAGGACTGGCCAGCTAAGTGGCTCAGTGGATATAGCTCTGGGCCTGGAGTCAGGAAGACTTGAGTTCAAATTCAGCCTCAGACACTTAGTAGCTGTGTGACCCTGGACAAGCCATTTAACCCTGTTTGCCACAGTTTCCTCATCTGTAAAATGAGTTGGAGAAGGAAATGTCAAAGCACTTTAGTATCTCTGTCAAGAAAACTCCAAAAGAAGTCACAAAGAGTTGGACACAACTGAAAAAAATGAATAAACAACAGGGAGGGACTGACTAAATGGGCATGCTTCTTGGTAGGTTATCTAGAGGATGTGCATCTATTCCCTGCCTGGTTCTAATCCAACAAATGGAATTTTGCAATCCTGTATGACCAAAGGATTGATAATGTGTGATGATCAAGCGTCTCCTAATTGGATGTGGAGATGGAAGAACCAATGACTTAGATGGTGTTAAACTAACATTGAATTCACACATGAAAGAGAGAATTTCTATTCTGCCAATAAGCTCAAATATAAATTAATTTCTTCTTATGGAGATTAAGGCAAGAACTACTTTGAGCTTCCAAGTGAAGAAAAGGCAGCTGCCCTATTTCCCCCCTTTTTTTTGTGTGCACAAGCACATAGTACCTCTGTTTCTTTTGTATTTATTGATCTTAAATTAATGAGTATTCTGAGAAGAGAGTGATTAGGCAACCATGTGAGTTTGGGAGATCAATCAGAGCTATCGGAGGTCCCAATGACAACTGGAATCAGAAGTAACGACCAATGGAATAGTAGTGGCCAATGACAGAAGAAACACCTGCAGACAGTCAACAAGCATTTTTTAACTATTTGCTATGTTCCAGGCACTGTCCTAAGTGCTGAAGATACAAAGGAAGGCCAAAAAAAAATGGCCCCTGTTCTCAAGGAGCTTACATTCTAATTGGGGAAAAAACTTACAAGTAACTTTTTACATACATGTTGCATACAGTATAAATCAAGTGTAATATGAGAGAGAACATACTAGGAGGACAAGTGGGGATAGGAAAGGCCTCCCGTAGAAGGTGAAATTTGAGCTGTCTTTTTTTTTTTTTGCAAGGCAATTAGGGTTAAGTGACCTGTCCTGGTCACACAGCTAGTTAAGCATCAAGTGTCTGGTCTGAAACCACATTTGAACTCAGGTCCTCCTGACTCCCGGTCTGGTACTCTATCACTGCGCCACCTAGCTGCCCCTAAACCGAGTCTTAAAGGAATCCTTGAGACAAAAATAAGAAGGTTAAGTATAATGTGGAAAGACAATCACTCAAGATAAATGCTGGCTTCCGGGATTGGGTCCTCTTGTGAGAGAGAGAAGTTTTAGCTATGAATTATGGCTATGAATTATAAAAAGGCCTAGAACTACCCCCAAGGGAAACTTCATGACGACTCAACAAAGGGAGAAAGGAACTGCCAAGTACAGGAGTCAGGAGGTACTGGTTGGTCATAGATGTTCCCTGTACAGTTGTACTTTAAATTTAAGCCTATTCTCCCCAAGGACCTTATGAGAGAATGTGTCTCTGGCAATATAGAGAATTATTTTTATAACCATTGTTCTTGCTAGACCTTCTCAATAAATCTCTTTTCTAAAAGCTAATAGAGTATAACTGATTCTGACCAATAATGGGAAGTACATCAATGGGGACCCAAGTATTAGATACAATAGCCCCTCAAGATTACCCTTAGGATGTTGAGGAGAATAGTAAACAGCCACCCTGTGGGACCTGACTTGGGAACTCAAGTGCCTAGGTAAGGAGTGAGCCCAGAAAGACTGCAAAAAAACCAAAACCAAAGCCAAAAAAAAAAAAAAAATCCCAACCAACTTTCTAAAAATTCAAATTGTCCAACACCAGAAAAGAGATAATAACCTTCCCCTTATTAGAGGTCTTTAGATCAAAGACTAGAGAACAATTTTTAAAAACAATTTTTAAAGAGGATTCTTGTTCAACCATAGGTTGGACTTGAAGTCTTTTGAGGTCTTTGAGGTCTTTTTGAATTCTGAGGTTTTGTGATTCTGTTCTAACCTACTTGATCTGATTTACTTGACTATCTCACCATTCTATTTGATTCTATACTAGAATAGTTGATCTCTATTTTGCTAATAAGCTCAAGCACCCATTAAAGTGTTTTTACATTAGGAATACTTTTTTTTCCTTTTAGACATGTAGTAGACTACTGTTAACCAACTCATTTGACTTAAACCTATAAACCTATAAAAGTAATTCAGTTCTTCTATGAAGTCACTTTGACTCTTTCGTCTTCACGTACGAAGGGAGATCTTCAATGTCAAGTACAAATGATGATTGGATAACACAAGGGACTTTTTATTTTATATGGTCAAAATGGATATCTGCAGTAATTTGTGAAAAAATGCAAATATATCAGTATTGGATGATGTTAGTTTGGAAGGATAGAGGCTAATTTAGTTCCTGAAATGACATAGTCATAACAAATTAGTAATTAGAACATCCTTTATTTCCCTCTTCTTCTATCCTCATCCTGAGTTAGAAGTGTTATATATCTTTTTCTTACTTGCTGGAGAATAACTCATTTTGGTAAAATAGATGACAACGCCAAAGTAGTGCCTTCAGGGGGCCTGGAAGAGAGATTCTGGAATGAAATATTATGTTTTTGGTGCAAAACATGTTTCCATATTAGCTGTGTTACAACAAAAGCAAGAAAAATAAAGTAAGTGAAAAAGTATGCTTCAATCTGCACTCAGAGTTCATCACTTCGTGCTCTGAAAATGGATAGCATTTTTCATCATGAGTCCTTTGGAATTGTCTTGGATCATTGTATTGATTAGAGTAGCTAAGTATTTCATGGCTGATCATCATTACAATGTTGCTGTCACTGTGTACAATGTTCTTCTGGTTTTGCTCACTTCACTTTGCATAAGTTCATGTAAGTCTTCTCAGGTTTTCTGAAACTATCATTCTCCTCATTTCTTATAGCACAATAGTATTCCATCACAATGATATACAACTTGTTCAGTTTTTCCCCAATTGATGGACATCCCCTCAACTCTCAATTCTTTGCTACCATAAAAAGAGCTGCTATAAATATTTTTGTACATATAGTTCTTTTTCCTTTTTCTTTGATATCTTTGGGACACAGAACTAGTAGTAGTATTGCTGAGTCAAAGGGTAATGCACAGTTTTATAGCCCTTTCAATATAGTTCCAAATGTTTCTCCAGAATGAGTTGGACCAATTCACAGCTCCACCAACAATGTGTTAGTTTATCTGTTTTTCCACATCCCCTCCAGCATTTGTCATTTTACTTTTCCGTCATGTTAGTCAATTTGGTAGGTGCAAGGTTGTATTTGGAATAATTTTATTGTACCACATATACAAATATTATAGAATATGTGTTAGTCGGTCAATCAACAAGCATCTTTTAAGCACCCACTATATATTACGCACCGTGCTAGGGATGCAAAGACAAAAGATGAAACAATCCCTGCTCTCAATATTCTTCATAGCACTGGTATCAAACTCAAATAGAAACGTGGGCCACTAAACTGGACATAAGGATTCTTGTAGGCCACTTTTTGATTTAGAAAACCACACATTACCATTATCTGTGTTTTAGGGTATTTTTATTTATTTTGTTAAATATTTCCTGATTACATTTTAATCTGGTTCAGGTGGCACTCCAGCCCTGCATTTGACACCACTGCTTTACAGTATATGATATGTAATGTTGTATAACAGAATCTAGAGTGCGTATCAAGGAAGTTTTATCCTGAATAAAGCAGGCCAAGCAGAAATAATTTATCTTTAAAAAAAGATCAGCTTGGCATGGTAGGTAGAAGGTTGGTTCTAAAGTCAGAAGAATCTTGTCCCAAGCCATATTTCTAGCTGGGCAGATCCCATAAAGACTTTGTGTTCTCAGGCAACTCTCTAAGATTATGGAAGTCTTATACACTATCTAAGTTTCAAATGAATTGCTGATCTATATCAGTGGAGAGAATTTCCACTTTAGGAGTTCCCTATGATGACAAAAGCAAAGGACTGGACCATGTCTGCTCCCTCCAAGTATAAAGAACTGGGCTGGAGACATCTCAATCTGGTTTGTGTTGGTGACATTTTTCACTATATTTGCACCTCAGAGGAAATCAGCAAACACTGCAGAGCAGAGCTTGATTTGTTGTTTTGTTATTGGTATAGACTCAGGAAAGTGATGGAAGAAATGTTTATAGTGAAGAGTAAGCTTAAAAGTGTGCCTTGCATGCATTTTGTTTTCCTGGAGAACCAGTTGAATTTTTGCTAGCACACAGTACACCATAGTGTGACTTTGGGCTGGTCACTTAACTTCTTTAGGCCTCAGTTTGCCCCTCTGTAAAAAGAGAGGAGGTTGAATTAGATGTTGTCTGAGGCACCTTGCAGCTTTGGCCTATCTGTTCATGTGTGCTCAATTTAAAGAGCTCTGTGTGATGCCTCTTGGCGCCACCAGGAGGAGCTGCACGCGGAGGCCAGGCCATCTCTCCGCGTCCTTAGTGCCTTCTTTGCTCTAGCCACTCCCTTCCACAAGTCGTGCCCATCAATTTCCGCCGGAAGTGGCGGTTGTTGACAGTGTTTCTTAGCTCTTCGTTGAATTGGGTGCTTGGAGGTCCTTCGGCGGGGTCGCGGAGGCTTTCGGGACGGAGACCCCCTAGTGCGGCTGGGAGATGGATATCCTCAAGTCGGAGATCTCTCGGAAGCGGCAGCTGTTGGAGGACAAGAAGCTACTGGGGGTGAGATGCGTTCGGGCTGGGGGAGGGGGATATGGGGAGCATAGTGGCCGGGGGAGAGCCTTGGGGACCTCCTTCTCCCCTGGCTCTTCCCCTGAACGTCTTGCGTGGGAGGTGAGGGCAGGGGTCCTAGGAACACCCACATCCCTCACAGGGACAAAGCTTTCGAGCTGGAAGATGCCTTAGAGGCCAGGTCCAACCTCCAGTGAGGAAACTGAGACTCAGAATAATAGTCATAATTGTTATTATGGATAACAGCCACATAGCGTCTTCAGGTCTTCTGGACTCCAAGCCCTGTGCTCTATTTGTGGGGTCACCTACCTGCCTTTGATTCGAAACATGCTAATCCATTACAGAGACGTGACGGACTCAAGTTGCAAAACATTTGGCTTTACAAATATTAATACAAATAATTTTTTTCTTTTTTAATGGGGTACAGAGTGAGAGGGAGAGAAGAGTTTTCTGTTAATTTTTTAAAGAATAGAGTGGTTGGGTGTTACAGATGTGAAAAGTTGTATGTACTTTCAGAGGAGGTCACTATTATTTGTTTTACATAACTGTTTTACATTGTTACAAGTAACTACTCTCACAAGGAGGAAGTAATCTGTAAATATTTGTAACGTAATAGAATTTTAAAATTAGCTGGCGTTTTCTCGCCCCTACCATCCCCTCCCCCTTCTCCTTGCAGTTTTGGGTCACTGTTGTACTTGGATGCATCGTGAGCACCTGTTATCTTATTAGAGCAGAATTAAAATACAAAGTAAAGACCCTAAAACGGATGTGGAGTTTTGGAGTTGAAGGATTCAACTACTTCCTTTTACAGATAGGAGAACCATCTTCGAAGGGTTGTTGTCTACTTCACAGAGTTCTGGAGATCAAAGGAGATAACGTCCGGAAAGTACTTTCCAAACTTTAAAGTGCTATAAAAATACTTGTTATGATTTGCCACGACTAGTTAGTACCAAGGCCAGAGCTGAGTCTTTCAACTCCCAGCCCAGTACTCTGCATTTATAATGCTTTTTGGAACTGAGTGCTGATTGTGTATACTCTTAGGTGGGGTTGAGAGAAATCATCTTCTGATTTACTTATGTAGCCCTGGGTCCCAACTTCTTTCCCAAACCGAAAGAAAGAAAGAAAAAAAAAGCACCTATATTTGTCTCCTTCATTTTTTCACCTTCCACTCAATTCTCAGTCCAGTGAAATCTGACTCCACTCAACTTAAACTTTCTCAGAGTGTACCAAGGACCCCTTAAGTGTTCAGTCTGCTGGCTTTTTCTCAGCCTTCTTCCTTAATGCAGTGAAAAGAGCATGATTCTAGGTAAAAATCTTGCTTTTGATGCTTGATATGTGTGATTCACAGCAAGTCACAATCTCTCTGGGCTTCAGGTTTTCATCTTTAAAATGAGGGAATTGAGCTAGATGGTCCTTTCAACCATTGATCTTTGATCTGTTATCTGTCTGGAACAACCTGCTGCTTTTGACACTTTTGACTCTCCTTTCTTTCTGGATTATCTCACCTCCCTAGCTTTTTCGTGATGTTTCCATTCAGATCACCCCCAGTCTGTCTGATCCCTCTTCTCTCTCTTTATACTCTCTTTTGTTGATCTGATCACTCCCAACACATAAACCCATCAGTTCCCAAATGATGTCATACACCTCTACAACTGCTTTCACAACTATGTTCTACTTCTCTTTACTCTAGAAAAGTCTAAGCACCTTTCTAGTTCAGACCTTTATCACCTTTCACCTGGACTATTGTAATAACATTCTTATTGGGCCTCTCTCCAATCCATCTTCCACACAGTTGCCAAAATAATCTTTTTAAAGCTAAGATTTGATCATGTCACTCTCAAATTCAAAAGTTTGAGTGGTTCCCTATTTATAACTTGAATAAAATGCAAACCACTTTATCAATTGGAGCCCTTTGTATTTGGCTGTAGACTTATTTTGTATACTTCCTTCTGTAAGGACTGAAACTGTCTCTGTAGAGATAAAGACTAAATATGTGATTGCATTAATATATTGCATTAATAATTATTAATAATCAAATAAAGAAACATTCTCTGCAACTTTTGATCTTGGAGAGCATTTTCCAACTTTTAGTCAAACTCAATTACTTACATTTCACTAAACATAATCTTTCATCTTTTGCCTCTTTTCCTTTACCATGGTTTGTCTTGTACCGCTGGATTGTACTATAGTTTTGTGAATCTAAATCTTTTAGAATCCTTAGTAACCTTCAAGATTTCACTCAGGCACTGTTGCTGTAGAGAAGTAGAGACCCCTCAAGGACTGGAGTACAGGACAGGGTCGTCTGGAAGGAATTCACGGACTCAAGCATTCTCTAAGTCGAGGTGGCAAAGATTTAGTGTTATGCTATACAGTGGACAAGGATTCTCAAGGAACCTGCCATGGTGGGCAGGGCTTCTTAAGGAATTTGCAACCTAACAGGAATGATGCTAAAGCTTATTTAGGAAAGGTAGTGGATTATTTGCCAAGTATGCTAATTAGGTGGTAACATACAACTATATTATTCACTACTGGAAACCACGGGGAGGAAGGGGGAAGAGAGGGTTCCTGAAGGGTATATTTTTGGTCTGTTATGTCTGTAACAAGATAGTTTCAGGAGTTGAAGTCTATAGCTTGACCTCTGAATTGTATACATGACTGGGCATCAGTACCTGATAGTTCTGTTGGTACAAGATAGTCATGTTCATACAAGGGAAATTCTACAGAGGTCAGGTTGTTCTTGTAACAGGGATAGTTTGCCTCACTGGGCCCACTCATGAATTATTGCCAGAAATAGGGTCCTTGGACTGGAAGGAAACTGCCAAGGATAGTGTTTCTGAGGCTAGGGAGAAATATGATCTTGGAAGTGGGGTCCAAGTACAAGCATCCAAATTGAAGCCCTCTCTGTCCCCCTAGTTGTTAATGTTCTCTCCCTTTTCAGATTGTCTTGTAATTATCCATCCATATATATTTTGTATACCCCCAGTACAATAAATGTAAGCATCTTGAGTACAGGGACTGTTTTTCTTTTTGCCTTTTATTACCACTTCCCTGTATAGTGCTTTACAAATACTAGGCACTTGATAAATGCTTGTTGTTGAAAAACGATCTTTTATGTTGGTTTCTCCTGATGTTGAAGAAAAGTTTGTGTGCTCATCGCTCCTGGAAAGGCTAAGAATACTTTAGACAGCAGAGAAGAATAGAAAGTGATCTTGATATACCTTTTGGATAGAATACAAGATCACATTGCATAGAGTAATCAGGGAAGACTTTTTAATGTTATTTTATATTTGTTCAAGTAATTTAAAGAGAATTATGTCTCTAAAGTTTATAGATATCCATTTCACTGGAATTGACAGCATTTTGAAGGAGAGTTTTATATTTCATAATGATTTTATTTTCCAAAAATTAGAAAAATGGCCTGACCCTAATAAATCAGTTTCTAAGTACACATTTTTAAAAGTTACAAATCAGTAAATAAAAATGCACTCCATGTATGGAAAATTGGAAAGTACTGATAAGTTAGAGAATATTGAAAATTAAAGTTTTCAGTTACTGTCTTTCCCTTATCCTCCACTTCCTACAAAAAAAAATGTGGAGAATTTGGATTTTTAGGTATTGTCTCTAAACGTGTACCAAGTAGTCTGTCTTTTCTTATTGTTTGTGAGTTTTTAATTGAATATTCTGTTGTTTTACAGAGGCCTATGAACATTTAGGAGAGAGTAGCATTAAGCACTAATTACCAGGTACCTCCTATGTGCTGAGTACTGTGCTAGGAGACATACAAAGTCTTAAGTAAGTCTTTCTTGCCCTCATGGAACTAAGTTGAATTTCAGGACAAGACATAGATATAGGTAACTGTAATATAAAATATAAGTATATTTGAGAATTGCAAAATAAAGTTCTTACTTGAGGTTCAAGGGGCAAGATTGTTGTGATAGAGGTGGTAGTGGAAAGTGACAGATATGAGGGGAGGCTTCCTATGGGAGCATTTCAGGTGGGTTTTCAAAGGTGAGTAGATATTCAACAGGTATGCAGGGGGAGGGAAAACATTCCAAGCACAAGGAGCTAACTGCTTTAGTAGAATGGTCTCAGGACAGCTTCAAGTGAAAGCTGGATGATCACTTGCAGAAAAGATATAGTCAGGTCTGGGTTGGATAACAGAGTCTAATTTCAAGATTCTGTGATTGTTTGACAGTATAGCATTTTTTTCTCCAACTTGGAGTCTTGACCTTTAAAGGTTCAAATGGAGAATTGGGGTTACTTGATTCCTCAGGATTACTTTATTAGAATATCTTACACTCAGCTGCCACATTTTACCCTTATCTTCTCCGCTATGTCTCCTCTTACATTAGTCAGTAAGTATATATTGAGCACCTGCTATGTGCCTACTCTTACATTAGGTTTTGAAGTTGAGGTTAGATTTGCAAAAACTCAAAGAATTTATATACTGGTTGACAGAGCTAAATGATTCCCTTTTATCCCTCCTCTCTTTTTTTTTTTGGTGAGGCAGTTGTGACTTGCACAGAGTCACACAGGTAGTGAATGTTATTTGTCTGAGGCTGGATTTGAACTGAGGTCCTCCTGACTCCAGGGCCCGTGCTCTATCCACTGCGCCACCTAGCTGCTCCTAGCTTTCTTCTTTTAATACTTAAAATGGAAACTACTCAATGAAGTTATAATAGAGATTGAGAGACCTTTATTAAGCTCCCTTATTACACATGCCTGATTTTATTGTGGTAGAATTTTGCCTGAAATCACTAATTCTCTAATTATAGTATGTTTACTTGGTTGGAGGATATCTTCATAGAGGCAAGTAGGAAGTAAAATGTTATTTGTACAAAGGCTTTGTCTTTATTGGTGTAAGGTTTTAGGTTACAGAGACCTGATATATGGAAGGACAAAGGGTGGAAGAAAAATAGAAAAAAGAAATAAAGAGGAAACACCGGGAATAATGTGCATCTTTGATTTATAGTGCTAATTTATAAGTATTA